TTTTTTTTTTTTTTTGAATATACAATGAACTCCATGAGAATAAAGTGTTGTTCTTGTTGGCTGGCTTATACTGTAATTTTAAGATCTTCCATCTGGTTACGCACATCCAAGACTTATTGGCATAAACTGATTCATCAACTGCAGATATTTTGTATGATGCATGGTCTCCTGCCATGAACGTGAGTTCCATCTGTATCAGCATTCTCTCCATGCTATCGAGTTCTACTCTGAAGGTGGGTTTTCCTTGTACTTGTTAGTACATTACTTGATCTTTTTGCCTTTATTAAGAAAAGTAATTCAAATTCCATATTCTGAATTTTTTAGAAATGACCGATAGTTTCTTCTCTCTTGTTTGGCCACACCATATTTTCCTTATTGTACAATATGCCGATGAGAATGGGATGTAATTCTAATTTGTACGGCCAATTCATGCAGCAACTCCCAGATGATAATGATCGCTATGTGAAGAACTGTAGGGGCCGGTCTCCCAAGGAAACCAGGTGGTTGTTTCATGACGATAAAGTTTAAGAACGGATGTTTCATCCTCGTCATTAACTGTCAATGGATGTAATTCTGATTCCTTTCATCCTCTAATGAAAGTGAAACACAAAGAAGGAAGAAATCTTATGGACTGGAGCGGTGTCAATTGCAAATTCTATGCTGTAATTGGTAAATACTGCCTGGAACGTATAAATGAAGAACAGCTTTTCTTTTCTCTTATTGTAAGCAATGAAACATGTACTTGAACAATCCAAACTATTAGTATCTTGTTATCGAATGAAGAAGTTCCCGTTGTACCCAAATTTCCCTGATTCTATCTGTTTGATAAGACCATTGCTTTCTAAATTGTTAGTTTAATACTGGAATGTACAAATACAGTTGTTTAGACCTGCTCTCACACGCCCACTTCCTCATCCCAGCAGAACCACCAAAGTGTTTACTGGCCCTAAACCCAGCTTCGCAAATTGTTATGGTAAATTGCACAAATTTTGGTTTACCAATTTGATTATGTTGCACTGTTGCAGGATTTCGTTGTAGCTCACCATACATCGGTACGGAATGAAATCAAGAATTTGATTCCTTTGTATCCCTATCTTCGTTGTGTTGCTGCTCAACTCCATTTCTTTCTGCCACGTACACAAGCAATTTTGTCCCACAACCTATTAGTTTTTAAAAAAAAGGCATATACGACATAAGATGTAACGAGCAACAACAACAATATTAAGAAAAGAAGAGGAGAGAGATTAGAAAACTTCTTTCATATCAAATAAGCGTTACAGAGCATAAGCCTCCTTTATATCGAGTTTAAACTAGTTTTAATTGAAACATGAAAATACTATCAAATCTATCAAATCAAACACGAATTATTTTTTAAAAATAAACAACAAATTTGAAAAGTAAACAACTAATAAAATATTAGAAAATCTATTAAATAAAATTTAACTATGTTTCCTAAAATAAGTATCTTATTTGAAAACTAAATTAAATACTATCTCTACTAAGATTCCATCGTTTCTTTCCAATTGAGAGAGCTCGACTCCAATTAGATAAACTGAAATTTCATAGTCCAAGAACATTGATCTTTTGTCTTGATATAGTGTTGGTACTAAACTCCTAACAACAACATATGATTGTATTTATATTAAGGAAACGATCTTTCTTATGAACCAAATGCTGATAACAAACGCTAAAAAGTTACTTATGGTGCAATCCATCCGCAAAACACCAGTTGGTTGATCATATTGAGGAACACAAGGGACTAGCACCATAGATTAGCTTGCATAAACAAATGAATGCAACATCGGAGGCTCAAATGTGTCCCGATAAGGAAACAATTTCGAAATATTGAAAATGTAACTTTCATTGAAGTTTGATGGCCATTGAAATAGATTATCTTTACGTTGTTGATCCAAAAACCTTTTCTTAATGTGTTTAGAAATTTGGGCCAGTAATAAAGGATAAAATTCACAAACCCTATATTGCATATTAAAAGCAAGCTCATAAGTTTTATAACTGAAAATAATTTGTCTTTTTATCTCGGCATGAAAATCAACAAAGTACTAGATTAAAATAATATGATGGTAATTAATGGCACCAAACGAATATCGATAGGAAAAGTATCCAAACAAATAATTGTCTTGGATAAAACTGAGGCAACTCAGAAGTATCAATCAGTTGAGTTAAAGCCATGAGAAAGTCAACATTAAATTCATGCAAAGGAGTATGCAAGAACAATTTCTACACGAAGTTGAGGACATGTGAAATATTTGGCTTATGTGGGAAACGACACAAGTAATTCCCAAACTATGTCATTATTAAGTGTATCGACTATATTGTGTAATCATGCAAGGGGACGCAATACACTGCTCAAAACTATCATCCTCTATGTAAAAAAGGAGGTCACAACTGCACTATAATCATCAAAATAAATCTCTAAAGATTTTATAGATTGTGACAAATAATATCTTGACAATACAGTTTTCAAAAAGTCTTTTTATCACATCTATTGCAACATGAAAGATCTTATTTTCTTTTGCACACTATTCAAGAGCAAGTCCAGAGAGAGATTATTACTTTCTTCCAACACAATAGTTTTTTAATCTCCATGGACCTGAAGATATTTCCTAGATGAGTTTTCTTCAAGCCTTAAAGAAAATATTAAAACGTGTCAAATATCATATGCTCACAGTCTATACCTAACATGATGATATATAAACTCATATTAGCCATAATTTCAAGTATTCTAACTTCATTAGCATGCAATTTGGTGAAGTTATCATATAGGAAAGCAAATGATATAATTGATGGAAAGATATTCTGCATTATGTTCTCACTATATGCGGTATCTGATGGAGTAATTCGGAATGTTTCACTAAGGGAAAAAGCAACTAGTACCTGTATAACAACATGTGAATGTTTCAATAGCTCATCGGAGATCAATACTATGATAAGAAGCCGTGACCAAATCTACAACCTGATTTTATCCAACAAGTTTGATGTGTGTGGGTGCTTGATTTGGGTTCAAATCTTGTTTTTTAAACTAGATTTAAACCCATAATCATACATTGAATATGTTTGTTTTGCAAGTACACGTACTTGGTTTTGTTTTTGTAATGGTTGTGGTGTTGGTGGCAACGATGGTGGTGGTGGCGGTACTGGTGGTACTAGATTTGATTGTTATGATGGTTTGTGTTTGGGGAGTTTTTTGGTGGTGGGATGGAATCAACAATGGTGGCACGAAAATGGTTGTAACACAAAGTGATGATGGTGTAGAGATGTAACATGATATTTTAGAGGTGGTGGGACAGCAATAACAACAAAGGTGGTGGTGGTGGCAACGTTGATGATGTAACAATGTGTTACAAGTGGCAATGGTGGTGGTGTAGCACCGAGTGTTGCAATGATGGTAGTGGTGCTGGTCAAGAAAACTGGTTTTGTAATAATATATGACACACTTTGTTACAAACGTAAAAATTTAAAAAGAAAAACAATATTTTGATAATAAAAGATGTTTAAAAGTAGATACAGAATTACTAAATTTTTGTTGGACATGTTTAAGGTGGGCGCCAAATTTACAGTGTTGTTTTTAATTTTATTTTAAATTTAATTTAATTATTTTTTTAAATTTAATCATCCAATCTACTTTTTTCGACTAAAAAATGAAAATGGATACATGATTACTAAAGAATAGGGAACATTGCTATCACGGTTTCAAACCTTTCATTTTTTTAAAATTTTATCCAAACCTTTAGTTTGTGCTACCTACAGTTCTAAACCTTTCATTTTGTTGCAACACAATAACAAATAGATGATTTCATCCAGTTGATTGTTAGTTAACTAGAAAATTGGCCTTGACCACAATTTTGAATATTTTAAGAAGGGTAAAATAGTAAATTTGTATTTCTCATATTAAACAATTAAAATAATTACATAAAAAATAAAAGAAAAAATTAAGTTTATCTTCTTCCCAAACACATCCAAACTCTACCCTCACCTATATCCAAAATCAACCACAGCCACGACCGACAGTCACCACGACAACAAATCGTCTGCATCACCATTCCTTTTGCTGTCACATGTTTACATTCCCCATTATTGAAATCCAATACATTCGAGAAGAGAAGCAGAGTGGAAGATTGTTGTCTTTCCCTCTCTTGCTCTATCTTTCTCCATATCCATTTCTACCTCAAAATTATATTCTGTGTCATGATCGGAGAAACCCACTGAAATAGTTAAGATAAGACCTCCTAACTTCCTAGATGGAATAAAGTGGCTCCTGCTACTCCGATGAACCTAAAAAAAGAGGTTGAGACTTTCTCCCCCATTTTACCTCCAACGTGTGTATTAGTGAATTTTCTTATAGACAAATGATTTAAAGAAAAGTAAGAAAATGCCAAAAAAAAGTGTTGGGAAAAATGAAGATTCTAATACTTAACACGTCTGTAAACATAATAGTAATCGAGCTAGCATAGCAGTAGTCAGGCTAGCATAGCGATAGTCAAGCAAGCATGGTAGTACTCAAGTAAGTATAACGACAATCAAGAAAGCATAGCAACAGTCAGGCTATTGTCTTCAATTGATCAGTTGTCGTAATCCACAATTTATATCATATAACATCACTAGCCTCTCTACCTCTTGTTGATAGCTATTGTTAAGATGTAGCATCTTTACTCATTTACATTACAAGACTTTTTATGATACTGATGGGACATAAATAGGTCGATTGTACCAATAGCGGATGATTACCGACTCGATTGCCCTTTACACTAGTTAATCTACAAGTAGGTCAATTTATGGGCTTGGACTTTTGACAACCCAAAAACTTTCTAAAATCGATTTGAAGAGTGGGCATCAACAGATTAGGATCCGCCCCAGTGACGAGTGTAAATACGTTTTTAAAATGAAAGATGGTCTTTATGAGTGGCTGGATATGTCTTTTGGACTAACCAACTCCCAAATACTTTTTTGTGAACAATGACACGAACTCTTTGACCTTTTTTGGATAAGTTCCTTGTCGTCTACTCTGATGACATTCTCATCTATAGTAAAACTAAGGAACAACACAAGATCATCTCAAGTAGGTTTGTTCCGCCCTTTGTGCAACAAAATTGTATGCTAACATCAAGAAATATTCTCTCTTCAATGATAGAGTTGTTTTCCTAGGAATTATTGTATCCCCTACGAGGATATTTGCTGACCCTACCAAGATTCAGGCAATTGTTGATTGACCTGAACCTAAGAGTATACATGATGTCACGAGATATCATGGCCTAGCTACCTTTTATCGTCGTTTCATCAAAGGATTTAGCACAATCATAGCTCCCATTATGGAGTGTGATAAGTGTGTTTTACACACTTATTTAGGTCACAAAACATGGAAAATGGTTGATGTATATGTTGAAATATGACTTAATTCGATATAATTTGTGTTTGTAGGATTACATTGATGGATGGAATGAAAAGTATGAGAAA